CAATTAGTTACTTTTTTAAGCCACATTTGACAAATAATTGTCGTAATTCTTAGGTAGTGGTCAAGTGGCTGACACAGGGAATCGTACCGGCCTTGTTTACGACACAGTTATGTTAAAGCATCAATGTTCATGTGGTGATGCCAGTTCCCATCCAGAACACCCAGGAAGATTACAAAGTATCTGGGCACGACTGCAGGAGACCGGTGTAGCTAATCTTTGCGAAGTGAGTGTGTGCACAATTAACTTGTGCGTTGTAATTGTGCTGTGTATACGAAAGTGAGATTGTCCAATTAGTCTTGAAATTTCAGGGGATTCAATAGGTATTTGTAATTAAATTGTGACTGGTGAAATTTTGCAGTGGAACGAAATTGATGATGCTATTTTTGTTCATACAGCGAGTGCGTCCTAGAAAAGCTACCTTGGCTGAAATTCTTACAGTTCACAGGTAGGTCCACTTCACGCTTGAGTAAACTTTTTAACACAGATATAATGCTGCTTTATTGCGAATCACTTCTTACCGCCAAAATTTTGAACAAGAAAATGGAAATGTTAGATTAAAATTTTAAAATATCTTAGAACTATTAACGACTTGGATCACAGTTCCACAAGACTACAGGTTGACGAAGCTCTCTTAACACGGAAGGTTTAGGTTATGCTTATCCTTAAGAACAACAAACAGCTCTTTTAGGAGCCATGAAACTTGCAAAAGCAATGATCGGTGGGAACCGTGGTATAATTTTATGAAGTTCTTGTCAGTTTGCTATACAGAAATGTAAATTTCATTGAATAATGTTTATTTCTGCAAATTTGCGGCACGTTTTCCAAATGTTCCTGATTTGTTATCAAAATGTTTGGGGAAAAGATAAGGTTTACGCGCTGGTGTTTAAAGTATTTGGAAAGATGGGCCTTTTGCAGGAAAAAAAGTTTCTCTTATAACGTTTAGTTCTTTACGTGAAAGGACAAGTTAAGTTACTATTAAACCCCACGGTAGAAAAAATAATTAATAACATTTGATTAGAGGAAGGAATGACATTATACATTATACATAATTTTCATTTTTTTATTTTCAGTGAACAGCACACCATGTTGTTTGGTGGCAGCACACAATGTAGAACAAAGAATGAGGACGGTAAGGGAAATTTATTTCATCAAAAATTATGAATTTACTCTATGGAAGAAACAAGAGGAAAACAAAAACAAACTTGTTGAAAAGGTGCAGAAAATTAACGAAGACTCTGTTGACCGGATTTCACGCATGATTTTCAATTGTGATCTTTGTTTAAACATTATGAATTTTTTTTCTATGGAAGAAACAAGAGGAAAAAAACCAAACTTGTTGGAAAGGTGCAAAAAATTGATGAAAGCTCCGTTGACCGGATTTCACGCATAGTGTTCAGTTGTGATCTTTGTTTATGTTCAAACATGACCTTTGGTCTTTTGGTCTGTATTTTTATCAGGGACAAGTACTTTGCTCAAGTGTTTCAATAAACTATTTTGTGGTGGGATTGGGGTAAGTTGAACCATAAAGCTGTTAGTTAGTTATATTTTACATATCATTTTGTTCGGTATCAGATAATCATGGTAGAATATTTTGTAATATAAATTGAACCACAAGCTGATGCTGGGTTTTCTGGAGAATCAATCCCTTTTTCCACGTTACATCGAGAAACTGTCAGTTCTTGTACACTGCATGTAAATTGGCTTAAGCACAAATACATGAGTGTAAATAATCACGGTAGAATGTTGTGTAATGAAATTGAACCACATGCTGATGTTGGGCTTCCAGGAGAGTCAATCTTTTTTCCACGTTACATCAAGGAACTATCAGTTCCTGAAGATTGCATGGGACTGGCTGTGAGCATAATAAATAGGTGGAAAGGATGGTTGTGAGGAGAGGTTGGAGACCATTACGACTCATTTGTCAAATGAGTTGGTTAGGGGAATTTTACATTCGTTAGGGTATTTTAAAAGTCGATGGCTGCTGCAATTATGATAATTTTTTAATGGGTGTCGTTTTTGTAGGTTGATGGAGATACAATATGGAATGAAATGCACAGTGCTAATGCAGCCAGAATGGTAAGAAAAACAAGTTGTTTATAGCACAATGTATGGATGCCTAAACTATAGAATTTGCACTGATTTCAATGAGTTGGAGCCAAGAGTAACATTACTCAGTCTGGTACGTTTTCCTGTTTTGTAATTTGATATTTATAAAAATGAACAATCTAGGAAAGGATGATACAACTGCAGCCAAATGTGAACAAGTGGCAAAATGATCTTTCCAAGCAAACCGCAACGGAAGTGGTTCAGGAAAAAGAAGATTGAAAAAAGGCTTCTCTTTCTCTGCAATCACTTATTGTGCAATTTATGTGTTGAGGTTGTTTCTTCACGGTCTATGTAACCTGCAGGCTCAAATCTAAGTTACTTCCTGTTTAAATACCATAAAGTAACAGCCACTATTTCAATTGTTCCTTTGAACCACAGCCTCAGTATTTTGGGTCAGTTAAAGTATGGTGTTTTTGGATGAGAAATAAAGTTAAAGAATACATAACCAACAGATAATGCATATCGATGCATTTCTAACGCAATTTTCCTGTTTCTGTTAAGGCCGTCGGGTGTGTCGTGGAACTTGCATCTAAAGTTGCCAAAGGGGAACTGAAGGTAAGCATGACTTTTGATGAAAACAGACTACAGAGAGCAATCAAAGAACTCAGACGCAGCTGTCTCTCTGCTGATGCTAGTTTAATAAGCTCTAAGCTTGTGGGAAAAAAAAAAAACAGGAAAAAACCAAGATAATTCTCTTACGCACCCGGACCCGTTGAGGCTTACGTTTCAACTCAGAGGGTCAGTTATTTCCTTGAAATTGGAAATTAAAGTTTAAATTGAGAAAGGCGGTACTCATACTCATACTCATTTAGGAACAAGCGCACCTTGTGTATACAGGGTATGTTGTGGTGCAATATTTGTCCCTTTATTCAATTCTTTTAGGATTTTGATGATGAATACATAACGGCGTAAAATAAAAATAACGTTGGTGTGGGAAAGTTTCAAGCCAAGAAAGTATTTGAACACAGAGATTCCAGAGCTTGCTGAACTCGCGTTTTTGCCGTTTTTGTTTTGTTTTTCTGAAAGAATCGTATCTTGTATAGAAAAATCTTACACGTATTCATCGCTAAAAAAGTGATTGATCAATGAAAGGAAAGAGGGAAATAGAAGGAGTGATATAATATTTAGAATAGTGGATCGTATTGAACTCGTAATAATACATGTAACTAATTGCTCTGTCCTTTTTTTTACAGAATGGATTCGCTTTAGTGAGACCTCCAGGACACCATGCGGAAGCTCATCAAGCGATGTAAGTTGAAAGGCCAGGATAGAATAACAGAAATGTTGCTACTATTAACCCCTTCGTGTTTCATGTTTTTTTTTAGGGCTTCCAAAACACGTCACTGCATTTCATCACGTAGGGACAAAATTCTGTAACGGGAACAAAAGATGGGCACAAAAATTCTCCATGTTACACAAAGTGAATTTTCGCCGCGACTTAAGCCCGCAAAAGTGCCGCGTGAAGTCTTGTCCTCAAATAACATGTACTTATTGACTTAGTTGGAGACCGGAAGGGGAAAGTTTTGGCCTTAGGTCCAATGTAATCCTCCGAGAGCCACATATTTTCCCGTCCGCCTCGACCTAACTCATTTAACAAGTACTTAATCACATTACTGTGGTTCTTTCTTTTTTTTATCCTCCTTTCTTCTTGCAGCTCGCGGGGCCTTACGACATTTTGGCCCTGCTGCTCACCGTATCGCTTACGGCCTTAATAAGAGGATTGTTTTCTAATGTTTGTCATTAAAAGCGCGTACGAGGCCGGGTCATATGGAAAAAGAGTATTCCCGAAGAAAAGTGGCTGGAATTATCTGAAAATTACTTCTAGCGTGTCTCAATACTTAAAGTCAGTGGAAGTTTCTGAAAAAGTGTCAGGTAACCTTCAGTGCTACCTTTTTTCTTTGCAGGGGCTTCTGTTACTTTAATAGCGTGGCAATTGCTGCGAGACTATTGAGACTGAACCTGTCAGTTGAACGAGTTCTCATTGTGGATTGGGTAAGTACAATATAGCTTGTTCCTCTCTGGAGCAATTTCAATTGAGGGTCGAAAATAATCTGGGATTGCTTTAGTCTTGTTTACCTCGCTCTGTTATTGATCCAGAAAATCTGCGCTATTCTCTCAACCAATCAGACGCAAAAGTAAAAACAATCGAGACTTGCTGGTCAACAGCGTTTTCCCGCGCTTTGGTAGTTTGCTTATTTTCACTTTGAATTCTCATTGGCTTTGACTCCTGTGATTACTCTGCTCTACTTTTCCGGTACCCAATTGAAAACTCTCCCATAGTTTAATGTTTGTACAGAGATTTAGAAAAAAGGTTTTCGTTTAAGGCAAAACCTAGCAACTGTCTTGTCGGTGATCTTTGAGATTTCTGTTATAATTTGAGCTGTATTTGCCACCGAAGTGCTTGGTATACAATTTCAAAAACTTCTCCATGTTTCTACAGGACATTCATCATGGAAATGGAACTCAGCAGATGTTTTATGACGACCCACATGTTATGTACATCTCAATTCACCGCCATGATGACGGGACCTTCTTCCCTGGTACTGGAAAGTCAGAAGAGGTATTAACCCTTTCCACCCTAACATCAGTATGCATATTCTCCATACTGTTCTCTATACATTTCCTAAGGTGCTGAAAAGGAGAATTTGTGTGGCAATCAAGAGTTTCTTAAGCTGGTGATCATTTCCTTCATTCTTGTGGCTTTATTGTTTGATCCAAGGGTGATATTGTATGGAGAAATTAGATGTTAGTCACTCTTAGAGGTCACAGGGTAAATGATAGTGTTACAACTACAAACAACGTAGAAAACAGTTTGGCTTTTAAAGAAGGATGTTAACCATTTTTCGTGTTAGACGGGGAAATATCTGATTCCCTCGACTAGGATTCTAACTTCAGACATTTCGATTTTCTATCGGACTTCAGAGAACTTGTATGGAATGTAATGCCATACACCAGGTTTAAATATGATAAGCGTCCTGCTTACTGCCGGGACCAGATATGTAGAAAGTGTCATGCATGATCATAGAGAGGAGTCGTTTACAATTGAGTGTCCAAAACCGTATCCAAAGTAATCACAACAACCAATCAGAGCGAAGGTCGTCATCATCATTTGTCAAAGTGAACTCAAATTGAAACAAACTGCATGAAACGCGGGAAAACGCGAATAACCAAATCACAATTGGTTCAAGTTGTTTGTTTGATTGTTTGAGAAGGTGGCATGAGTTTTTTGGACCAATCCCAAAGCGAAGTGATGGATTACTTTCGATCCTCAATTGAAAACTTCTCCATTGCTTTGATTCTGATATGTAACGACCAAACAAGTCGTTCATTGGGGTAATTGGGATGGGTAAGGATAAGGATTGGGTGCAGGGCAGCGCGGCTCAAGTTATCGCACACTACAATCAGTTACAATGAATTAATTTTGACAACTTGTCGATTATTGTGAATCTCTTACAATAATTGATACACCTGTTGACAACAGGCGTAGATTAGACAGCCAAAAAAAGTTTCTCTACTGTTGTTTTTGATTTAGTTATTAAAAGTAAGTGTCAAGATGAACAAATCATTTCAACCTAAAAATGCAAGACTTAGTACCTTTGGATGTGTCTTGTTTGTTTCAGTGTGGTGCTGGAATAGGCGTTGGCTACAATGTCAATATTGCCTTCATGGGCGGATTAGGTAAGTTACGGCAACATTACTCGCTCCACTTTGTTCGCTCCAAAGGTATAAAACGTAAGTTCTACTCATCTTCTGCCATAAAATTTCTTCGAATTTTCACCGAAAACATTTGATGTTAAATCAAACAATATCCTTAACTTGATATGTTTCTTACTTCTCCTCACCACCCTGCCTTAACCCTCTACATCCTAATATCAGTATCCATATTCTCCGCACTCTTCTCTATAAATTTCCGTTGGTACTGACAGGGAGAATTCGTTTAACAATCAAAGCTTCTTAGGTCGGCGATCATTTCTTTTCTTATCATGATCTTAATAACGATTCAGCAGATTAAGATGATAAATGGGAACCAATCAAAATGTGTGCGTAATTCAGCTTATTGTAATTGCTTTTTGCATTTGTTATTCAACAGAGCCTGTATATGGTGATGCTGAATACTTCGCAGCGTTCCGTTCCATAGTGATTCCCATAGCGAAGGAGTTTGAGCCCAACATTATATTAGTTTCAGCAGGGTTTGACGCTGCGGCCGGACATTCGCCTGCTTTGGGTGGCTACCAGGTCACGGCAGCGTGTAAGTATCAAGCTAAGGAGTAGTGTTGCGGGAAATTAGCTGTCGCCTTCTCACCTAGTACGAGTGAATCTGTGTGTCTGGCGAGTGAAAATCAACGGTTGCTGTATGGGTACAGGGCCGACAGCCGGACTGACAAAAAGAAAACAAGCAAAAACAAAAACAAAAGCATCTTTGATCAATGTCAGTGTCTGAGCAACTGCTTACCCACCCCTCTCCTAGCCCAACATTAACCTTCCACTTGTTATCAGTTGACTGTTGTTGGGTTAGGGGATGGGTAGGTGCGCAGTTGTTAAGATATTGACATTGATCCAACATATTTAAGGAGGCTTCGTCACGCCTCGTGTATCGTGATTATTTTACAATGTAGCTTGATATGTTTTAAGTTTGTAAATTGTGATTTGGGTTTTTCCGCTCGCCTCGACTATCCTCGTTTCTTCTTTAACTAATTTTATCCTGGAAGAATTTTCTGTCTTCCCAAGTTTATATTTTGTTGTTTCCTTGAATTTGATGATGGTTTTTGTTCGAAGCCAAAATGGAAGCGAAACTTCGTTAATATTCAGCCTGGTTGTTGGTTGATTTAAGCTTCGTGGTCGAAGGATGCTGTAAAAGAGTACTAAGGGTCTTAATCACGCGTTTGAAATCCTTTAGTATGGAGCTTACTGAGAGAGGAAGCCAAAATTTTGATTACGGCCGTCGATTGAAAATATGTTTCGATAAACAAGTATCTTGTGTGTGGGTCAAAGAGACATCCCACTCTCTCAGTCGTGAGGAATGGAGCCCTCAGACGAGGCCTGATTTTGAATTCCGATGTGCTATGTTATGAGCTCATTGGTGATGAATGCCATGTTCTAGTTACATATATGATAGGCTTTTCGCACACTGGTGGTATAGGTAAAGTGTCGTTTGTAGAAACAGTAAGAGAAAGTAACTTTGGAGTCAGTCTTCGAGTGAGAAAGAAATACTGTTGAGGTATAACTTTGTGATGCGGTTATGTACACATGGTGCATTTTCAGGTTATGCGCAGTTGACGAAACAGCTCATGGATGTTGCTGGGGGCCATGTGGTCATGGCATTGGAAGGAGGCTACAGTTTGCCGTCCCTGTGCGACGCAGCTGAGGCGTGTGTGAAGGCCTTGTTAGGAGAAACAGTGAGAACTAAACTTTGTTTTATATCTGTGGTCGTTTTCTTTCCTTTCTGGTTTCATCTACTGATGGCTAGATTAACAGAAGGGAGGGTGTTATGTATTTAGAGAGGCAAACAAGACAAGCAGACAAGCATGTGAATGAACAATTTGCAAACAAGCGAATGAAATCGCAGTCAATCGAACGAACGGAAAAGAGATCGAATGTTGACCGAATAAACAAACAAACAAGCAAACAAACTAGAGTGCAATGAAGTATATAGGATGTCAATTTTTGTAACAGCAACCTATTATTCGCCTTCTCGTAGCTTCCTGAACTCTCTAAGGATAGCCTTAAACGGGCCCCGAATCCAAATGCTGTAGCTGTGCTTGAGAAAACAATAAATATTCAAGGTAAGTGAATTGAGCATTTTTCCGTTTTATTCGGTGACAATTTCAAACAGGATCCTACCTGATCTTATTTTAACATTTTGTGTAGTCAAGATCCTTGTCTGGTTTCGATCCACGGATATTCACCACAACGGACAAATAATAATTACCATGTCAGGGTAGTGGTGCACTCCAAGTCGCTTTACCCTGTGGTAATGGGTAACTTACCCATTACCACAGGGTTTTTTAAGTAAGATTTCATTTCATTTCTTGCAGGCAGATACTGGAACAGTGTGAAGAGAGCCGCCACACAGATCTGCCAATCATTAGTCCAAGCTCAACAGCGAGAGAAAGAAGAGGCCGATACTGTGACGGCGCTAGCGTCACTTTCCATGGGAGTTGTACAGGAATCAGACAAGTAAGATATGTCATTCTGTTCGTTGACAGGAGGCTGTTTCTTTGTTCAGGCGTAAAGCTCGTTTTCTTATCTCCGGTAAAGAAACATGGATGCAGAGCCATCCCTTCTTTTAATTGCAACTGGTGTTTATGTCAACTAGGTCCTGAGCCTTTGAGATCGGTTTAGTTTTACAGGTTGGCTTCATTTTAACTTAGAAAACGACTGAAAGCTATTTCCGAGTTGTTGTTGTAACCCAAAATTCACTCCTTCCATCTCCCCCCCTCCCCCTCCTTCCTTTCATTCCTGTTAATGTTTTGTTAAGTCCGCTGAATAGCTCAAAAGGCTTTTGCATGTTTGGTTGCTACGTAATATTCAACTTATAGCTGTGAATTGGACGAACAGTCTGCTGAGAAATATTCTACTCATCTCTTGCATGATAAGAGAAGCGCTATCCATTGCGCCAAGTTTGAAGAGTGTATTTTGCTAATGAGAATGTGCTTCAGCAAGTAGACCATGTAGATGAAGCGTAACTTTTCTTAACCAATACTTTTAAGATATGAGGTCAGTTCAGTGGCCTAGACATCTCACTCCTGTGTGATTCATTTTCCGAGTTCAGTGGCTCGCATGCATTTTGATCACCTATCCCCACCCCAGTGGGTACCCCTTTGTTTAGACGATAGGCCTATACTCGCGCTACCTTCATAAATAACTGTGGAGATTTTTCACTCTTGAAATTTCAGAAGTATTGACGAATCCATGGAAGAAGAACAAGTTGAAACATGAAACCAAAACAGAGAAAATCAAAAGCAAAGAACGATTTTAGGTAGAATAGCTTCTATAAATATCTTCTGTAAATGCCCTTATGCGTCTACCACGCAAATCACAGCACTCGTTATAAATCGGTACACAGTCGTGTAGGTTTAAATGACGGACGAATAATCGTTACATTTTGACTGCTGACCCAGCCCGAGCTGCATTGAGGTAAAGCGATTTATCGGGACAGAAATGTATCAGTGATCTCACCACCCCACACCCTCCCTCAAAAAAAAAAAAAAAAAAAAAAAAAAAAACCAGCTTTCCGAGAATAAATGGACAGAACTTGCCGTAAACGAGGTTTAAGGAACGCTCTTCAACTGTGTTGTCATGTAGTCACGAATCTTTCGTATCAATGTTTGTATCTGAGCAACTGCACCCTCCCTAGCCTAGCCCAACACAAATCAACTGTTAACAAGTTAGGGATAATAGGGACCTTAAGCAGTTACGACGGTAACGCCAAGGAAGACGTCGATTTAAAAATGAATACATATTTTTAGTTGGAATTTCGCGAATGATTGGATGTGCTTAACATCTCTTACGGTGCCGTGAGTTAACCTCAGCATAACATATGAGAGCGGCTTTGAGTTCCAAATGGAAACTTAAGTAATTTGCCGTCCGGGTTTCCTCTCTCGGACCACGCAAATTCTGATGATTTCACGTTATTTTGCAGAGGACGGCTAAGAAATGTACGCAGTTTTAAAACGCACACGCTGAGCTATCGTTCTACTCATTAGATCTTTTGTTTTGCCACGTCCTCGTTGCCGTCGCTGTCGTGGTTTGCTGAAGGTCCCTAGTGTTAGGTAAAGGAAGGCGCAGTTGCTTTGATACTCATATTGATTCATTTTTTCAAGAGTCAACAAAGAGTGATATTGATATGGCTGAATTCCACGGTTGCATTATGTTGTGTTGAAGGGGTTTTATCTTTTATCGTACAGGTACACTTTGTAGGCTTAATTTGCTTGTTTTATTTATTATTTGTCAAATGGATTTCTTGTTCCGTAGGTCGGGAGAAACTGAATTAACTGTTTCTTAGGGTGTCATTTCTATAGTAAGGGTGCGAAGATTCGGGGTATATCCAAGAGAAACCTAGTTATCACGTCGCTCGCAACCTTACGCCAGAAATTTTTTTTTAATTGGCAGTGTTTACATAGCGGGTGAAAGAACAGGCTTTCGATACATCACTGTCCGTTGTAGTGAGTTTTCGAACCTAAAAACTTGCGTGGAAGGTTCGTAGCTCCAAATCGCCTCTCCATTATTGTCGCCAACCAATCTGATTTTCTCAAAATGTTCCGAACTTCTCTTGGTTATCCCGACCCTGGAGTAGATTCTGTCTTACTGACGAGCACTACCGTAGAATTCGAAAAGAGTCGTTCCGAATAAATGTGCATTGATTTTACAGAAGTTCTCGTTTTCTTTTTCTTCCTTTTCTCCTTTTTTCAATGCCTGTTGTAATTCTCGTCCGGCATGGGTGCGTTGTTTTGGCTAATGCGCTAATCTTAAAGGTTTTTTCCGATGAAAAAGTAATGTTGAAATCATTCCTTGGTAGTGTACACGCCGAGAATCAACTCTTTAAAACTGAAGCATTATTCAAATATAACTATGTATACTAAGCTTAGCTATGAGTTTTCATTATTCATTGTATTATCATAATCACACGGCGAGGGGGCTAATCCTTCCACTTTCACGATCTGATTACAAATTTTCCATTCCATCTGCTATACAATCCCTAATGTATTAGTCACGAGAATGTGGTAGCTTATCGCAACAAGAGCCTCCTGCTGATTAAGGTTTCTATTCTCATCACCTGTCTACTGAAAATTGTTGGGAAATCGCGAGGAGAATTTCTCTGTAAATCAGTTGTGAGAGTTGAAGGATTAGACTTGTCTATCAGACTTCCAAGGAGTTTCTAGTGTGTAATTTAGCCGAGATATCCCCTCGGTAACTCTGTAATTATTCCTTGTACATAGTTGTCAAAAGTGGCTGGGTTTTTTAAAAAAAGACCCCAGTTGCTAAAGGATTTTCTCATTTAAATTATGCCTTTTAAAATGTTACCCTGCATAGCAAATATATAACAGGGAAGTGACAATACTGTGTAAATGCGATATACATATATATTATAAATAGTTAAAACTTTTTAGCTCTAAGAATGTAGAATGTTATGGCTTAATTTAGTGGCAGAGTGGTAAGATTGACTGAGCCACCTTATAAATGTGTAACCCGCGTGTACTGGGTCGAAAGTCAAGAGAGTCTTTGTGGCTTGTTGAAGCTGCTTGTGTACTGGAGTTTATCAAACATTTCGTGTTGCGCTGTTGCAATTATTGCAGCTGGTAATGTTGTAATGTGATTTCTTGGTGTTCACTTGAGGATCCGTGTGCCTTCACAAGGTGGCAGAAGTGAAATTTGATTTTATGTGAGCCTTGTCACCAATTTGTTTCGTCTCTTACCGTGATTTCTGAACTGTGTGTTTTTAAGGTAGAGTTGAAGAGGTTAAAACAAGTTGATATTCGTCTTATTTTGGATTTGTGTCCAACCTGGAAGCTTAAGGCTTAAAATTAATGTCCTTAATACTAGTGCTTTTTGTCCTCTTGTTAGAGGAAAAACGAACACAAATTATCACGGCCGCACAACGATTTTTTTCAATCATTTCATGATTTTGCTGTGCCAATTTTAGTGTGTTCATTCGCCTAACACGTTCAATCTCACTGTCGATGATTATGATTTAAATATCTCCATGAATTATTGGGACACTTATAGGCAAACTGAGAGTGAAGAACTAAGATGTATTGCCTTGATAAAACTCCAAATTCTCATAACCAGTAATTAAGGAATAAATGCAATACAGAGAGGAGAATTGCGGATTGCATCGTGAGGATGAAAGGGTTCGTAATGTAACAGGACTCTTCCTGATTCTTGAAAAGCTTTAGTGAAGGAAAGAATTGTAATGTTCATTTATTTTTATTTTATTTAGTTATATTTTATTGTAAGAAAAATTCTTTTTCTCTCTGTGTTGATAAACAATTCCCTGTTGTGAAGCGGAGTCTTTCTTCAAAGTATACACACATGCAGGAAAAGAGGGAATAGATTAACTTCCCAACTTCTTGTTCAATTATTAACTTTTTATGTCTTACGTCGATGTAGACCTTGAAACTAAAGCTAAGAGAAGGTTGGCTTTCAGAGACTAGCGTCACCAACGGATGTATTTTCAAAATTAAAAACGATTAAAAATGTTGGTAACTTCTGTTTTATAAGTTTGTGTTTTAGAGGAGGGGGGTGGGGCTGGTATGAGTGTTCATTTTTGTCGGGGGCGAGGTGGAATACGGCTTGCAGAGGTGAAGGAGTTGTTTCTCTTGGTTCGTAATGAGACGCGATGAAGAGAGGTCATAGGACACTGAAACTTGCCACAGTACACTTTAATGTCTCCTCAGCACAAACTGCACAAGCTGTGCTTAAGCTCTAAAATTGCATACTCTGCTCTTTGGCATACAAAAAAAATTAATTTCTTTGCTTCCAAGGTTTTCCTGAGGGACATATGCAGAACAATTAAGTAAAGGCTCTGTTTAGGGCGCATGATTGAACCAGATGCATGGTCACATGATAACCACTCTTTTCTCCCAGTGGTTGAACCCATGCAGAGTTCAGGGACCAACCAACAACTTCTTATTAGAGATCTTACTTTCAAATTCTCTCCACACTCAAGTCGTGTCCAGGGGAGGTTCCTAAACACACCCCTCTTCCAGTCTCTGGACGGTTTCATGACTCCACTCGGCTGTGGGGTTCGTTCCCAGCCCTACTCCTCTCCAAGTTATTCATTTCCTCTCGATCTCCCTTCAAACGGGCTTTTCAGTCCCTCCATTGGTTTTGCTCTTGTGTAACTGGGAGAGAAAGCCTCAAAGCTGGGCCAGGCCACTCCCCTCTATCGAATCTGTCGCACCAGGACAACATTACGCTGAATCTGTAGTCGCCGCTAGGCTTAATAATTATCTGTCTGCCCTTGAAATAAATGGAGCGTCGGTGGGAGAGTATAACAGCGTAATTCAGTGTTATCAACTGAGTCGATAACGTAAATTGGCCACTGTAAAGAGTTTAAAAGCTGACGTTTCGAGCGTTAGCCCTTCGTCAGTGGTTGTTCTATCACACTCTCTATGATGGGCGCATCTACGGATGAGATTGCAACCCAGGCTGGCTAAAAATGTACCCAGTCTGCTAAGTATTACACTCAAACAGACAAGATCCTCGGCGTTACAAAATCGCATGACATGCTTTCTCAAAGCACCACATCCGTGAACAGGTACAAGTCTCGCAAAGCTAACATTCTGCAGATGCCTTCCATTCACTTAAAATCCTTTCTTACTGTCGTTTAGCTTTCTATAACGGCATGTACAACACGTGAAAGGGGTTTCCTGAGTTTCTGAGCTTCGGGAAGATTTGCTGTATTTGAACTGAGCAAAAAACGTTCCACCCATTGTCAGTAGCAACCCCTTGGCACGGGAAAAAATTGTTTCACCCACAACTTATCCATCGTGAGGCATAAGGTGACTTTAAGGCGAATTTTAATTATTAGTGTTCTCATTTGTGTAAAAGCCGCCGCATGTCTAATTAGTTAATCGGATAACTCTCAACTCTATTGGCCGTAGAAGTCCCCGCGAATTTCTACGCCGTTGCATGGAAAATCTCTCTCTTCTGGCAAGCCTACTGACGCTACACTGTATGTAAACTTCCCCCTCAGCGGCGCTGGTAAATTCCTCCTTTTAGTTCACCCTACACCTTGTGCAAAAATTCTTTCGTTTATAACGTATTCATTATCAGGAATAAGGTGGCTTATAGGGGAGCTGAAAAGAAGAATTTTTAATTATTAAATCAATAAATTGTTATAGTTAGGCGACTAGCTATATATGCGCAACTTGCCGTAGTTCTCTCATTCATCCATGAAAAATTCCAATAATGAATGAGGGAATCCATGGTAAGTTGAACGTATTTCGTTTCCGTCAATTGATTTCAATCCAGCGGTCTCTCTCAAGTGTTTCAGCGTGCGAATGGTCACGTGATCACACTTCAGAGGACTGTGATTGATAAACCTTTAGATGAATCAAACAACATTGAAACTCTTTTGAATTTGTCTTCCAGGAGATGATTTGTCATAGGGCGGTCAGTCAGGGTTGAAGACACCTTAAAGTAAACCTGCCATATTCTACATAACGATTTCCTTTTTAATGCTGCTTTCCTCGCTGACTTCTCCTTGGAGAAAAGTCACTGTATACATACGAGGTCACAATTACTCTCGATCTAAAACACAACATTTTTTCTTAATGAAATTCCTTTTTTAGGGTTACAATAAAGATACGAAAAAGTCTGTCTTGAGACCTCAAAGAAACGCAAACACAAACGTAAGGGATATAACTGATTAAATCATTGTGAACTTACAAATAGGTACTTCTTGGTTTTGTTAAATATATCTGGGAAATAAAGAATCGGTAGTGAAACGTTTCGACTGTGTAAAATTTAACAATGTTTACGTTCAAAAGCATAAAACTCGTTCATCACATTGGTCCTCCGAAAAGCAATCACTTTAGTTCAAGTCGATCTCCACCATTGCAGATTCCTCGTCACTGAATTCAGTCCTCGCAGCATACCCTTGGGAGAAGCTCCTCTGTGTCTTGATTTTTTTCTCCAGATAATCCTCCTTATTTGCCAAAAGCGACTCATCAGATTTCACTTTTTTAGCATGTCCCTGGGGGCCCCTTTGCTGTTTCCTTGGACCAGCCTTTAACTTGTGTTTAACAGTGTCTGACTTGTTTTCGGTTCCTTTCTTATTGCTTCCCTGTTCCTCCACAGCCCTGTTCAAACCATTGTCTTCCGTCAAAAGCGGGTTATGAGATTTCACGTTCTCACGATTTCCCTCGAAACCTCTTTGCTGTTTCTTCATCTTCCCCTTTAGATACTCTACACATTTCGCCACAAACGAATCATCCTTGTTGACTGTACCATGTTCGGGATATCCTTTGGAACCTATCTTTTTCTTTCGCTGTTTCTTTGAATCTTCCTTTAACAAGTGTTCAGTTGTGTTAAATTCATACCCAGCCCCTTTCTCCATCTTGCTGAGGGAGTCTCCACGAGACGACTTTTGGCGCTTAGATTCTCTGGAGGCAAAGAGACAAAAGTCAGTTAGGGAATTATCTTGTCAAGTTTTATTGCTGTCAATTAAAACTAAGTGTTAGGAACCAACGAGGTATCAGTCTTGTGCACTGTAAGGCGTGAAGGTAATGGAAACTCACCGGGAGAATTTGTGCCGATAGCGTACCAAGGCACAACAAACAACAGCCACACTGAGCATACTCAGAACACTGACTACAATCATACCAGCCATCGCCGATGGAGAAAAACTTCCATGATGGAAATAAATCAGAGGTGCACCTCCTGTCAGTCCGTGATAAGGATGATGATGTCCATGATGATTGTGGTCTGTAAAAAAGTTTTGCATCGTGATTTCATAGGTAATTGTAAGTAAGATTTTTTATTCATAAAGGGTGCATGTTTGATGTAAAAATTGCATTTGAATTGAAATGGTTTTCATAACAAAGGCTCATGTATATCGAAAAGCTATAGGTTTAACTTACTGTGGAATCCATCATTCATTACTGGAAGTTTTGGTGGACATTTAATTTTGTGGCCGTCAAATGATTTCAATCCAGCGGTTTCTCTCAAGTGTTTCAGCGTATGGATAGTCTCGTGGTCGCAGTCCAAGGGATTATGATTAACATACCTAAGGATAGACAAAACAATAGTGAAATTTTGGAATTTTTCTTCCCGGAGCGATTTTGTCGTGGGCTGACCATTCAGGGTTGAAGACACCTCGAAGTAAAAGACGCACATATTGTGCTGTGCACGTTCATTTTCTTATTTTAATCAATGACGTTTGCTTCTTGAACTGTGAAAAAAAAACTCAACGCTTTCGAGTTGTTTCTACCCTTAGAAGTCTAAGAAGCATGTCTCCTCTTACAATTTTTCCAGGTTTGAGTAAGCCCTCACGTCTTTCAAGTCAATGTGTTTGATTTGTCCATATGCCAAATCCCTGCAGAAACAGAAAAACAAACAAACAAATAAGGCAAATAAAAGTGCTTCTAGTGACACACCCGCCCTAACCCACCTTGTATCCCCAGTTCCTTTTATCTTTTAAGCGATTTGATTTGTTTTTTTTGTTGTTGTTTTTTTTTAGGAATGATAGAGTTACTTTTTTGATTCTCGGTTCTTTCAATAAACCTTTCTTAAAAACTATTTGTTAGCGAATTCATGTATATCATTTGAATGCCGACTAAAGTTTCAAGTAGCCGTGTCCAGGAAAATGGAAAGTATAACTTACAGAGTTTTGACGTTTGATGCAAAGCTGAACACGGGGAATTTTTCCATTCTTCGACAGACCACGATGGAGAAGTCATCTGTACAGTCACATTGCAACGGACACTCATTCTTGGCTTGAATATAAGAGCACAAAATAATTATGATGAGCACAATGCTTTGTCTTCTCGAAATCATCTCGAAGCTGTTCAAAAACGCGGACGAAGTTGAACTGAATAATCTCAAGTGATCATTAGCGCTTTGTGACGTCACTTTTAATTGCCATAATGTTGCACGTACGCATGTTAATAATTTGACGTCATAACTTTAAACCTTTCCTAAAATACCTATCCTCGCAAGTGGTTTGTTTTTGAACGTCGGAGATTGGTCAAGTTGTGTGATCAATTGTGAGAAATCGAGGTGAACACTCGAATATAAATTCCTTATCTGCCCTTACCTTGTCTCGTACCCAGACCTTGCACGGCCAAGTGGTTGTAACATTTTAATTACAGTTACACGGTAGGAGCTGGGTACGAGATTAACCCGTACCACCAATTATTTTCCATATCGGTATACTTATCGGTATTCTATTGTAGGTCTAATGGAGCCCGAAAGCGAACCGGCGGATTCATGCCGCAAAAAACAGCATTTTAACTGCAGAGGGCATTATCTTAGTATTTCGGGGAAAGTGTATAACGCTCTTCAATGGACAATGGTTTTGGTCGACAAAACTGTGCATGATGGCCCCCCGCAAAAATCATTTTATAGACTTAACTACTAGCCGCTGTTCAGGAAGTGAGCCCAAGCAGCGACTCCTAAGAGATAAAGTTCCTCCTCGGAAGGATGAAAGACTGTACCGAGAAAACGGTGTAACCGAATGGCATGTTACCAATGCGCGGTGGAGGT